TTCCATTGATAATAAACAAGTTAAGAAAATGACTACTTTGTGGGAATTATGCTTAGCAGCGAGAGGATATTGATATGGAGGCTCTCCCGTTGGTATAGGTTAGGTTTCTAGTAGAAATCTCCTTATCCCTTACCTATGTGCCCCCATAGGATGATTGTCTAGATAGACATTAGCTAGTGGATCCACAATAGCTAAAATTTCATGGTCCCTCCTTGTCAAGTAGGACACCCTTTTTTGGTGTGGGATAGACACCGGATTCCATGTTGATAGCTCACATGGTATTATATGTCGGTTAAGGCTATTTCCCACAAATAAGCAAAGTAATGATGAACCAAGGTTACTTCAAGGAAGTATCGTAAGTATGTTTTAAGATGATGTTCACTTGCATTGATCATGGATTTATGACTTATGGTTTTTAACTCTCAAGATACATGTTTTAGCTTGATCATTTCATACTTATGAAAATGTCCCTTTTTAGCATGATTTAAATTTTTTATGCATGGCTATCATACTTAGTACATTGTTTTGTACTAACACATACTCTTTCCTAAGTTTCCCCAAATATAGGATCCGACTGTCAGGATTCTCAGATTTGTGGCTAGAGGTTGATTTGCGAGATTCCCGAGCTTTGGTGAGTCCTCATGCTTCGAGGGCGGATTCTCATTATTTTCAATTTCTGCCTTACTTTCAATTTTGGACATGATGTATGGGCTAGGACTAATTCCATTCTATTGTATTAGAAGGCTGTTGAGACAAGTGTTTTAGACATTCGATTTACTTTTATAAAACTTCTGGACTTTAAATGTTGTCTTTATCTCTTTTGTTATATTTATTATGTTATGAATGTTAAGTAGCTTGTATGGGCCCTCTCGAGGTCCTATACGCCATGTTACGTCTTGGGTGTACCATGGGTCGTGCCAAACTTGGTAATCAGAGCACAAGGCTTAGGATGGTCCTAGGATGTATCATAAGCCATTTCTAGTAGAGTCTTGTTCATGAGTCTGAAGCGCGCCACATTTATGAATGAGAGACTATAAGATGTTTAGAAAACTCCACTTCTTCACTACTTCAAAGTCGTGCGATAAATTTTAACTCTATAAGGTCTCTCTCTTAATCCTTATCCAATGATTTACATGATATGGCTACTCGAAGAGATTATGCTAGAAGGAATGTGAAGGAGAAGGTGATACAAGAAGCTCATCGTCAAGCCCCTCAAGCTCCGATCGACCCTTTGGCCGAAGAAGTAACTAATACAGAGTTTAGGGATGATTTCAAGTATTGGCCCAAGACGTGATGGCTCAAGCCAATAGGGAGGTTGCGGTTCCCGTGAACTCAAATGTGAGTACGACGACATCTAGAGTGAGGGACTTCACTAGAATGAATCCTCTGGAGTTTCATGGTTCTAAGGTTGAGATAGATCCTCAAGAGTTCATTGATGAGGTTTACAAGGTGTTAATGATCATGGGAGTGATGCCGGTGGAAAATGTAGAGTTTGCTTCTTATCAACGCAAGGGTGTTGCTCAAATATAATACAACCAATGGAAAGAGGGGAGACCGAAAGATGCAGGTCCTCATGATTGGAAAAAATTTAAAGTTGCTTTCATTTATAGGTTCTTTCCCCTTGAAATGATGGAGGCAAAGGTTCTTGAATTAATCAACCTTCGTCAAGGAAAATGAGTGTGAAGAAATATGCTTTGAATTTCACACAACTATCTCGATATACGTTTACCATGATTGCCGATCATAGGGCAAAGATAAGTAAGTTCATTTTAGGTGTGTCCGAAATGGTGGTTAAAGAGTGCCGTACCGCCATGCTTGTTAATGACATGGAAATTTATCGTCTCATGGTTTATTCTCAACAGATTGAAGAGGAGAAACTTAAAGAAAAGTCTAGAGAGACAAAGAGGGATAAAACTGGTAATGGTAATTTCTCTCATGCAAGGTCTGATGGACATGGTTGTTCTAGATTTTGACAAAGGTTTTCGGTCAAGATTCCTCCAATGCTCCTCCTAAGTTCAACAACGATAGGGTGTCTAACCCTAAGCCTCACGGAGGGAATGGTAGTGGATCTTCATTACCTATGTCTACTTATGCTAGGTGTGGAAGGAAGCACAAGGGTAAGTGCTTAGCCGGCATGGATGGTTGCTTTGATTGTGGTAAAAGTTGTCATAAGATGAGGGATTTCCCAACTCTTACGACTAAAGAAAGAAAGGGTAAGCAAGCTCGTCCTAGTGGTTCCGGTTACAATGCTCTTAACCGAAACCGATTGTATGCACTTCAGACTCGTGGTGAACAAGAGGGTTCTCCCGATATGGTTACCGGTATGTTGAAAGTCTTCCAACTTGATGTTTATGTTTTACTTGATCCCAGTGCAACCTTGTCTTTTGTGACACCATATGTGCCCATGAGGTTTAATGTTCTTCCAAATATGTTGCTATGTTCCTTTTCTATCTCTACCCTAGTTGGTGATTCTGTTGTGGCTAAGAAGGTTTATAGAAGATGTCATGTTTCCTTGTCCTATAGAGTTACTCTTGTTTATTTGGTAGAGCTTAATATGCTAGATTTTGATATTATCCTTGGTATGGATTGGTTTCATTCATGTTATGCTTCGATTGATTGTAGAACCCGTGTAGTCAAGTTTCAGTTTTCAAATGAGCCCGTCCTAGATTGGAAAGGGGGAAATTCTATGCCTTAGGGTAAGTTTGTCTTTTGTCTTAAAGCAAGAAGGATGATTTCTAAGGGTTGCATTTACCATCTATTTAGGGTGGGGGATGTGGATTCCGAAACCCCTAATCTTGAGTCAGTCCCCATTGTTAACGAGTTTCCAAAAGTGTTCCCAGATGATCTACCCATCAAGTCGAAGATTAAATAAGTTGAATGAGCTCGATAAGTTTCACCTAAAAGCATATGAAAGTTCAACCTTGTACAAAGAGAAGATGAAGAGGTAGCATGATCAAAAGATTGATAAGTGTGCATTTACTCCTGGTGATTTGGTACTTCGTTTTAATTCAAGGTTGTGTTTTTTTCCTGGCAAGCTTAAGTCTAAGTGGAAGGGGCCATTCAAAGTTGATCAAGTGCTTTCACTTGGAGTGGTTGAACTTGAGAATGAGGAAGGAATGAGAGTCAAGGTGAATGGTCAAAGGATCAAAGTCTACTTGGGCCAACCGGAAGAGGTCAAATGGGTGATCAAGAAATGGGACCTTGATGAAGTCTGAGAAATCAAGGAGGTCTATGTCGTGCCACTGTTAAATCAAGCGCTACTTGGGAGACAACCCAAGATGTAAAATCTAGCCAATTTTAGGATTTGTTAGTGAGTTTTTTTTTTAATAAAAAAAATTAGATTTCTATTGAGTTTTATGTTTTATTGAGTCTTAGTATTGGCTATATTAGGGTAATATAGGGTCCGTATCCAAAAAGAGTCAAGAAAATGTAAAAACAAAGTCCTAATGTTTGCTACGTGAGGAGGAAAACAAAGAAAATGTAAACCAATTACTAGTGCAGAACGTCTATGTTCCCATAGACGGACCGTCGTTTCATCAACTGACCATAAGTGGAATCCTTACATCCCAAGGATGTATTCTAAATTTCACTAAGTCAAGAGGACATCGGTGGAACCCATCAATGGACCGTAGTTCTTACTATGGACCGTTGAGGGGGAATCGTTGGTCCAAGTTAGTACATAGAGTCGACCCGGCCCATGGCCAATTTCAATAAAACCTCTCATTTTTTTAAAACACCCCCCATTTCCCTCTTTTCCCCCAACTGTTAAAAACCTTTAAATATCAACTGATCAACCACATTCTTACCCCTTCACATCCTTAAATCTCCCATAATCACATATATATTTTTCTTCTTTCCCCTTTTCCCTCATTTTCATCACCTTTCATATTTCTTCTTCCCCCAAATTTTGTTTCACTAAAATCAAAGGTCGAGGTGTTTGGCATCAAGCAAATAGGTTGTCAAAAGGGTAAAGGAACACACTGACACAACTTAGTACATCTCTGAAAGGTACTAATTTCGAACATAAACTATTCAATTTCAACATTGAAATCAAAAGTTGTTACTTGACGTTGGGCTTTTGGCCTAAGTTGAAATCAAAAGTTAGTACTTCCCTTTTCTTTTCGCCACACCCCCAACTTAGGCTTTTGGCCTAAGTTGGCTATTCAATTAACCACAACTCGTGAGGATTATAGGTAATGCATAAAGAAAGGTTTAGGGTTCATCAAGTTTCTTCCAAAGAAAGGTCAGGCTCAAGGGGTGTTCAACAGAGGTTCACACATGCTCACAAGGTAGGCCACAAAGGGGTATATGTCAAATTGGTTCACACTCTTAGAAGTTGGCTAAAAGGGGTATATGTCAAATTGGTTCACACTCTTTAAATCGCCTAAGATCACATCAAGAGCTAGCCTTACTTAGTCGATCGGACCAACGGGGCAAATTCTAGGATCTATCATGCATGTTTCAAAGTAAGCTCATCACACTAGGCATCGACACTATAGTCAAACAAGACTCCACACTTTCACTAGTGTGCAACGGTCATTACAAGAGACTCGATTCGATACTAGGCTAGTCAAAATGAGATGCAAAGAGTTCACATATTGTCTATGCAACTTTATTTGGCCTCATCGTAACCGCGCATTCATGGTCGTTCGATTGAGAGCACTATTCAAGTCATCGGTATTGATCGGGACCGAGACTTAAATTTTGCAAAAAAGAACAGCCACATTCATCAGACAAGAGGTGGAATTTTTTTTTGGACGGGTTAAAATCATTTTGCAATATAAAATAAAAGGAGTCATAAGCTCAATCATCCACAGAAACAGATAAAACACAATTTTAAAGTAGAACTACCCAAATATATACATAAAACACAACTATCAACACAAAAGGTATGGGCCTCACCCCACCACAATTAAAAAGTATTTGTCCTCAAATGCAACTAAAAGTATCCAAAAGTAAAAATATAATAAGACAGAGAGGGAGGTAAAGAAAGGTCATGTCTATGCAGTCTCTCTCTCTGTCGGGGTCTTGGTGGCTGGTGTAGTAGTCTGTATATGGGCATCAGTGCCCGAAGTAGCCTCAGACGGAATAGAAATGCCAGATCCACTGGGAGCTGTTGTGGATGTCTCGGTAGGCAATGTCTGGATCACCGAATGCACAACCGTCTCTATAAGATCTGGCAAGTTTCTGAATATGTCCTCATCTCTGCTCTTCTGTGTCTCCTCATCATGTACTGATATCAACTCCTCGTCGGTCTCTGCATCCGACTCTGCATGTGCTGTGCCATCCCCCTGCACATCTCCGGTAGTAGTCGAAGGAATCCCCGAGGTCTCAGGAGCATCCTCATCATTTGCATCCCGCATCAGTGAAGTTCGTAGCCGTCAAATAGTCTACATCCTTTCTTAAACTCGTAACCTCGGCTTTTAAAGTCATCACCTCAGAGGCCTTCCTCTGTCTGCTTTCACAAGCAATGACGCACACTGTCAAGGCATCAACAGAAGTCGGAAGGAGGGTAAGTGCTGCCAGTATGGCCCTGTCGATCATCTCCGGAACAGACCTTTCCAGTCGGGTAGCCCGCATATCCGCTGACAGGGCCAAGTGTCCTATCTTCAGGATCATCGCCTGAGTAATCTTTGATGGCCAGGAGGAGGAGGAAGAAGCACCTGGTACCTGTGAAGAAGAGGAGGGTGCAGATGTACCTGAAGGCTCAGAGGCCGGAGTAGGCAAAGGTGCTTGTGCTGGTAACGAGTCAACATCAACTTCCGGAGAGATATCTGCCGGAGCTGCTTTCCTTCTGTCAATCTCCTCTCGTGTGAACTCCGCCTCAATACGCCGGATGTTCGTGGAGGATGAAGGGATGACCTCTATATCATTCGCAGGATCCCAGGGTACTCCGGCACGCCGGCATAACTCAGTGATCAAAACTGGGAATGGCAGAGAGGTAAGTCTCTGCTTGGCTCTCATGGCCATCGCCTACGAAATCAACAATCCTAGGTCGATCCGCCTCCTAGCCATGATAGAACCGAGGCAAGCCACCTTAGGATGGTGCAAAATGGACTCGTTCTGGGATGATATGATGGTGCTGCTGATGAAGCCAAACCAATACATGGAGGTGATGTTCATGTCCCTCTTCTCAATGGGAGCTCCTGCATCGATCCACCTCGGGGTGGTGTCAAAAATCAGTGGAGCTAAGCAACCCTTCAAATCATCCAGGGACGGAACAATAGGTAACCCCTCGTAAGGGAGTGCAGAGTGCAGCGGTCTACCTAATACAACATTAATATGCTTGTTGTGACACTCCACCTCCTTGCCTCTGACCATGACCGACTTCACCGGTCGAAACTCACTTGCCTTATTCTTATTCTTAGGCACCAACTCCCCATAAGCAGTGTAAAACTATCTTACCCAAGAAGGAATGTAAGGGCCTCGGGGCCGTGTGAACTGATCGAATCCATGGTATCAGAGAGTTTCAAGCACATCAGGATGCTTGCCTTCTAAACCCTCCATAGATAGTAACTTCTCCTCTATGATGGTCCGTAAACCATCACCTTTCAATCTATTTAACAGCCTCGGTGGAGGAACTATAGGGAGTGCAGGGATGACTGGAGGTGCCTGAGCTGGCACTGAATCTGTAGTTGGAGGAGCTGCAGCTGATGAAACCCTAGTAGATGTGGGTTGAGGTCTATCTCGAAGCCTATTCTATCGGTGAATTAAGGGTTGATCATCTTTAGGCTCAGACCACTCAATTTGGGCCTCAATAGCTACTCATTTCTTTGCTGTATGTTTCTTCCTCTTTCCTTTGTCTCCGAGTGGGAGTTCTTCTCTTCCTCTCTTTGGAGGATTTGAACCCCCTTCGTTTATATTAATGCCCTTTGCTGCTTTCTTGGTGGCATGTTTTGATTTGTACGTACCATATCTGCAAAAGATTGGGAAGAGTTGGGGGAAAAATCAAATAGAAGCAAAGGCAATCTACTGTAGGAAGACTCGCCAAGTGGATCGGCGAGTCGCCGAACCTCTTTGGCGAGCTAACTCGGGCTCGCCGAAAGGATTGGCTTCAAATTATAGCAAGTTTGCGATGGGAAGGTCCTTTCGGTGAATCGCCGACTACTTTCGGCGAGTATGGGTTTGTCCGCCGAAAGTTACAGTGCATTAGGGGGTCAAAATAGCATACAAAGGGTGACCAAGAGTACTTTCGGTGAGTCGCCGAGTGCTTTCGGCGACCCATGGCTTCTCGCCAAAAGTTACTGACTCAAACATCCAATTTGACACGATATTAAGGGCGAGATGGAGACATTAGGCGAATCGCCGAATGATTCGACGAGCTAGACCCAACTCGCCAAATGTCCCAACGTGCCCATTTTCAATCCACTTCTTGAATTCAATCCCGCAAACTCCAAAAACAAAATCAAAGCATGCACTAACAAAATTTAAACGAGACCCGCACTACCCATTTCCCTGGGATACTCAAATTTCTCCTGGATTTGCCTAATTTGGCCATTTGATGATATTTGCTCTTAAGAGTGGTGTCACCCACTCTATATTTAAGCAATTTTCATCATTTAGCACAAACACGGGCTATTACGACTTCACCCAAACAATCAAAACAATCATGCAAGCACAACCCAATGAGATTTCATTCAATTACAGTCACAACAAATACGGGCATTTGACGATCAAAACACTACGGGCAAGATTTTCAAATTGAAATAGGTATGTAAACATTCTAATCCTAGCAGAGAGGCCCAACACACATCAATACGATACAATTATTGCAAAAGAGTTCAAAATTTTCAACAATAAACTCGGGGTTTTAGGACTAACCTTTAATGCCGATTGAAATATAATTGAAATGCTAGGCAGCAAAGATGTCCCAGTTCCGAGCCCAATCAATAACTAAAATACTAATTGAAAGAAAGGAGATTGAAAGTACTACCTTGGTGTGAGTTTTGAAGTTTAAAAAGTGAGGGAAAGTGAAGAGGTTTGAATTTTAAGACTTTTGGCCATTATAAACCATCTAGTTCGTGTCCATTCAGCGACATTAGTATTGCTTGCCGATCTAATCGGTGACTTGCCGAATGGTCTCGTATCTCACCGAGTTTTATAGGGCCTCTAGTTTATGTGGAAGTCCAAACGGTGGAAAATAGCGGGATCGCCAATCAATTCCGCGACACGCCAAACGGATTCTCAGTTCGCCAACTTGCACTTTTCAACACATTCCTTGTTTTAACCTACAAAATTAACACACCATTATTCTAACATACTAATTTAAAGTGATAAACCCTTGGGTTGCCTCCCAAGAAGCGCCCTATTTAACGTCGTGGCACGACGCAAGTCCCCAATTACATTCTATTGGTGGGGTTGTCCTTAGTGTTACTAGGTAACCCCAATAGTTCATTTGGGCGAAGAGGAGGCACCGCATAATTCAGGAGTGTCCTGATCAGTTGGATATATCTAGAGTGAGAGCCAACCATTTGATTCAATATTCTCCTTCATCTCTTCCAATATTTGATCTTGTTCGGTGATCTTTTGGGGAATGATTTGGAGTGTGTCCTTGACGCGATTGTTCTCCTTATCTCTAGACTATTTCCTCTCGTGAGGAGGTATATACCTCCCTTGACTCTTGCACTAGTTTTCCATCTCTGATAATTTGGTGGACAACTCGTTCAGCTGAGTTACCAGTGCGGTTAACTCAAAGTCCCTCTCGACTTCTTGGCTCGTCTCAGCCGAGTTGCCACCATTTCCCCAGCCATGCTTAGGGTACCTACCTACATCAACAAATTCAAAAGAAAACAAAACTAAAAAATAAAGTTAGTAAATTATGACCACCAAAAGCAAAAATTGTCTTAAACCAAAAACTTTCATGTAACACCACTCCCCGGCAGCGGTGCCATTTTGATGTTTGCCTAATCAAGACACAACTTTCGATGCAAGTGTCTACGATCGTACAATAGTTTAGTAAGCCAACCAAGAGTTAGGGTCGAGTCCCAAGGGAGTGGGCGTGAGAATTAGTGGTTAAGTACGAAAGTGCTAAAGCTAATCGTAGCTAAAGACTTTGGCGAATGAAAACATAACAAATTAAAAAGGGTGAAGCAAGCGTGAAGTATCAAATGGGGGTTTGTAAGCAAGAAACAAGTAAAACAGTGAAAATAAGGAAATATACAAGTATGGAGACGGGTCCACTAACTCTCTCAAGCTGAGTGTGTGGACATGGGACTAGGGTTCACTCTCTCGAGTTGAACCTCATGTCGACCCACTCACACTGGCCATCAATTTAGTGGTCTTAGTTTTACGACCTCTGTCTCGAGCAAGCCGAAAACACATTAATAAACTTGTATTTGCAACTACAAATTCATTAAATTAACCCACAACCACTAAACGAAATCACATTTAAACTACGAATAGACTATCAGAAAGCAAGACCGAATAACTAATCTAACGCATATTCATAAAATCACACCCCAAGAATTGGGGTTTTAGCTACGCATGTAAAAGAGATAAAGACATATACTAATATCAGTTTCCATCAATGGGTATGAAAGATTAAGTCTTAAAACAAGCCAAAAGTGAAGAATCCAAGAGACCCAAGTCCAATTCCATGAATTTGAAACCCTTTGAAAGCTCCAAGTTCTTCAAAACCCTCTCCAAAACTTAGAGAGAATATCTCCAAAACTCTGTCTCCAACTTAATAATCTAAAAACTAGATAAATAAGGTAAAATTTGCTCCTAAGAATAAAAACTGAACTAGTATTTATAGTTTTCATAAAATGTGCTCTGAAGGATCTTTCGGTGACGTTAGTCAGGATCGCCGATGCTTTCGGTGATCTACCCTTTGGTCGACTTCATCGCCTTTCATCAGTTGCCTTCAGCATCTTTGTGTCCTAGATCATTGGGTGATGTAGCCCTTCTTCGCGGAGTCACTTCGGTGATACGCCAACTACTCCTTTGCACCACCGATTTGCTCATTTCCTTCAGGGCTCAGCACATTGAAATAAAAGGCGAATATGCGATCTATTGGCGATTTGCCGAATGGGTTCGGTGATTCACAGATCTTTATTTCTTCTTTCTTTTAGCTTCTTTTGCTTCTTTTTGCTCGATAGTGTCCATGCTTTCCCTCAAACTTCAAATACCTGAAACTTAAAGGTTTTCATCAGATATCGAGATAAAACATGCTTTTGAGGACACTAGTTTCATCAAAATATAGCCCTAAATAAGTCAAAATCATGGACTCATCATGAGGTTGGAGAAAAGTGAAATTGTGTTCTGAACCACTACTAGATGATGACCATATCCTATAACACATGGGGCAACCCTTGGACCGTAAGTCTGGTCCCATTGGTCAGAAGCATAACTAGTAACCTAAGTTGTGAACAACGATTTAGCTTAGGGTCCGTCGTTCTATCGACGAACCGTTCTAATGAACCACCATTCAAACTTCTGGGACCTAAATTTGACCTCCTGACCTATGATCCTCGAAGCTTCGACAGCGTGTAAGTACTAACCGTTGGTCCAAAAAAATAGTTTTTTAGAACTTTTTTTAAATTTGTCATAAATTATTTTGCTTCTTTTTATTTTGTTTGTTTATTATAGTTTAAGTACTAACAAGTCTTCCACCGGTGAAATGTCACCAAAGAGAGCATATACCTACAAACGCAAGTATAAGTCCAAGTCTGATGCACCCTCAGCTCGGTAGCTTATTGACGAGGACACTGAATCAAGTGGGTCTAAATTTGATCCGGGGACGACAACAGACTCCCCCACGACACCTCGAACTATGAGGCAATTGGCTAGACAACTTGAGTCAGAAGGGGAACAATCATCCAGTCATGATGATGCCCAGTCTGAAGAGGAGACTTAGAACTCGAATGATGAAAATAGAGAGTCGCAGTCCAGCTCTAGCTACAATTCAGTAGTTGCCTCATCGTTTGATGCTACCAGTTTTGGGTTGGATTATAATGCCCCTGGTACTAGAT